CTCCGCGCCGCTTAACGCGCATTTAGAAAAACGCAGTAAAGTTTGGCTACGGGCAGGGGGCAGTTCCGAATAAATGTGTGCATCCTTTAGGGGCCGGGAGGGCGGCGAGCCGGGGGGGGCAGGGATCTAGGGAGGACCGTGAGGCCGGCTCTGCTCCGCGGCCCGTTTGCCCTCCATCTCCTGCCGTCCTCCCGCCGGGTGACCTGTTGTTTTCCCAGTTCCTGTTCGGCAAATACCTGCTGTGCCCACTTGTTAACCATTTTTGCTCGGACTCAGCGAGCGTCCTGTTCCTGGTTAAGTCGCCAGAGGAGAACGATTTTTTATCAGGCTCCCCCCACCCGTATTCCAATAATAAGCCTGAAACCTATTCCAATAAACAAGAAACAAGGGTTCGATGATTATTATTATTATTATTATTATTAAAGATTTATCATATCAGAAATTAGATTCTGGAAATCATGACCCACAAGCTGTGTTCATTTTCCAGTTTTAATACGGCTGCACACGAGTAACGCACCGCTTCTGACTACTGGCAATTTAGAATTCAATTAGGTAAAATCTTCAGAATAAGAGTCGCTACAGAAAACACAGGGATCCACACCTCTCTCATATATGTAATTACATATGTAAAAAGCAAGCGTGGTCCGCTGTTCAACACCAGCGCGTTTACAAGCTATAAGGAGGCATGAAATTTGTTTCATAGCATCATGTTTTATTCATTGGGATATATGTGATAAGGATGTTCTAATAATAATTTCATTTATGTTGATAACAAATATCTCTATTAATTTTTCAGTGCATTTTTGAGGCCTAAACTGGGGAAGCAATATGAAGCCTCCTGTGTGGTATGTGATATTCACCATTTAATGATCTCCGTATGCTGTGTGGTATTTTCAACCCAAAGAAAGACATTAAATCATACTGACTGTAAATATATACTTTACTCAGCAAATATTACTGAGCACCTACTATGTGCCAAGCACAGTTCTAGATGATGGGAGAGAGCCAAAATCAAGACAAATACAGGGTTTGCATTCTAGCCGGAGGGGCCAGGCTACTCACAAACATGAAATACATAGTAAGCCAGATAGTGATAAGCAATATGAGAAAAATTCAGCAAGAAAAGAGATTAAGTAGCACTAGTGTGGGGGTTTCATTTTAGATGTGGTTGATGGATAATGTGAGCCTTGGACAAAGACTTGAAGGAAGGGAGAGAGGAATAGCTCAGAGAAGAGCAGAGTAAACAGCAAGTCTGAAGGACCTTCACCCAGAGTGGGGGAGGGTTAGAGCAGTAAAGAGGGCCGAGGAATAGCAGAGAACTGGGTGGTGGAGGGCCTTGCAAGGAAGAATAATAAATTAAGCCCTTAATTAACAAAATTGCAACTGTTATCTAGTGAAAGTTCATAAAATGAGTGTTTATGAACTACTCAAAGTAGCATGCAGTTCTGAACTTTTATGTCCTTTCATTGTTGTACAAGTCTGAAAATTAATGATATAAAATAATTATTAAAATAATGAAAGTAATACATGGGGTGGGCAAAAGTAGGCTTACAGTTGGGAGTACAAAAAACAGAGTTAATCCTTGTATTATTATTTATCGATTTTTTAATTATTTATTTGTGTTATTTGTCTCCTTGTTATTATTGTAATTATTTTGTATCCTTACTTATGATTTATCTTTTAGGAAATGATGGCTTGTAATTTAACCTACTTTTGCCCACCTCTGTATTTATGCAAAATAGAGTGCTTTGTCCTGAGATTCTAAGAGAATCCCATATCCCTACAAATTCACATTTTATAAATTGCAACCAAAAGACATGAAATTGTGAAGCAAATGAAGTGAGATTTCCATAGACTTCATTAAAACTTGAAGCTCACATTGTGTATATTATGACCTAAATGTGGAAACCTACCTATTTAGATATTGCCATGAATATTTGCAAATGACTACACAGACCTCCTAGTAAGGAGCTCTGAAATGTGTTAGGGCCACAGCCTAGGATGGAAGCCAGCCGGAACGTTAAATACAAGCACACACACTCATACACTCTCACAGTCCCAAGCTGGACTTAGTTTTGTTGCATCTCCTGCCCTTCAGAGTTGTCACAGAGATCTGTTTTAGGTCTAACTTTCTAACAAGAGCCTTTGACTGGAAATTGTTTTGTATTTTTCTCAATGTAGAGTAATTTCACACTTGAAATCTCGGAGTCTTCCTTAAACCATGCTTACAATTATACTAGCTTAAAATAATCCTGACCTTTCTCTGTTCTTGGCAAAGACATGTCTGACATTTTTAATGTCACACAATATCAACTAGCTAGGCCACATTCATAGACAGGTAGGTATAGAAGTATAAACATCTAAATTGAAAGTTATTTTATCTACTAAAAATTACCTGAAGGC